TGTTAGAAACTCATTTAATTCTCCTAACAACCCAATGGCCTAGACATCACCTTTATTTTATATTTGAGAAAACTTTGGCATAGAGAGGTTAATTAATCTGCTTCAAGCCACACAAATAGTAAGGCATGAAAGAGGGTTCTAGATGTTTTGGATATAGACGTAAGCAAAACAATGCAAATATTTACCCATGTGGAGTTTATCGACATATGTAACTTGCTCTCCATTCACCAAAACATACTCAGTGAGCATCCATTCTTAGTAGCCTGCCTTGATGCAAACCTAAATTATCTCTTCACAACCACTCTTTCTAAAATGAAGACTTTATCGTGAAAAAGTCACTGGTTAAGGGAGTAGGTTTCAACATAAGCAAACAAAAATAAAAAGTCAAGAAACAATGCAGTTTAGCAAGCCACATGTTGAAAAACACTCAGGACCGGGTGCGGTGGCTCAAGCCTGTAATCCCAGCACTTTGGGAGGTTGAGGCAAGAGGACTGCCTGAGCCTAGGGGTTCGAGACTAGTCTGGGCAACATGGTGAGACCTTGTCTCTACGATAAATTGAAAAATTGGCCGGGCGTGGTGTCGCACGCCTATAGTTCCAGCTACTTGGAAGGCTGAAGCGGAGTCCAGCAGGTCAAGGCTGTGGTAGCCATGAGAGTAGTACTGCCCTCCAGCCTGGGCAACAGAGATTTCAACTCAAAAAAAAAGAGAAAGAAAGAAAAGCACTCAGACATAAGTATAGAGATTTCTAATCCAAAAATGTAGGGTGCCTTCTCATCAATGTGGAAGATTCACGACCACCTAATCTACAGCTTGCCATGTTTGTCAACCATTTTTACCTTCCAAGAAATAACCATTTTACCCTAACGTAGGTTTCACCAATGACTTTCCAATTCACTCACAAACCTCTGTTTACAAAATAAGAAGTTGCTGGGCATGGTGGCTCACACCTGTAATTCCAGCACTTTGGGAGGCCAGGTGAGAGGACTGCCTGAGCCCATGGGTTCCAGACCAGTCTGGGCAACTTGGCAAGACCTTGGCTCTACAATTAAAAAAAAAAAAAATGAGTGGGGCATGGTGGCACACGCCTGTGGTTCCAGCTACTTGGAAGGCTGAGGTGGAAGGATCGCCTGAGCCCAGCAGGTCAAGGCTGCGGTGGCTGTGAGTGTGCCACTGCACTCCAGCCTGGACAAGTAAGATTCCAACTAAAATAAATAAATAAAGTAAAACAAACAAAATTAGGAGTTACAGGACAATCACCACTGCCAGCCACAGCAGAGACTAAATAACTGGTCAAATGTCCCAAGAACAACCTCAGTTAAGGTCACACAATATATATTTTCCTCTCCTTTCTACCCTCATTTTCCCCTCCCAGACAAAAAAGCAGCCAGTGTTATTTCCTGGGAGTACATTTGGCAACCATATCCACTAATTAAGCATTCAAAGTCCCGCAAGGGCAGAACACGCAGAAGTCAAGTGGAAAGCAGAATACTGTCAGGAGGTGGAAGCCGAACTAGAAAGTAACTCCAGGCCAGGGCAGAGAAATGGCTGTTAGAGAGAAACACGAGATTGAAGAGAAAGGAACAGTTTATTAGATTTCACTTAGCAAATGACGACTCTGGTGTAACGGGAAAAGCTATGGGCTAGAAGAGACCTTCTGTCACTACTCAGCCTTGTGACTTTACTTTTACCTACTCACCTCCAAATTATTGGGGGAGGGAGTGGCCTGGATTTCTGAGTTCTGCCTACGGCGCTCCAGACAACCCCGACTGCCAGTCACGAGCAGCTGCGCCTTCGGGAAGCCAGTCGGCCAGGGACTTGTCCCCGAAATCCTGGGAGGAACCGGCGGCAAGAGCCACCAGGCGGTTACCTGCACACCCAGACTGTGCCCGATATCTCTCTCTTCGGTTGCAGATCTCCAGGTGTTATGGGCTCAGGACAATGTCCTCCCTTCCCGCCCAGCAGGCCTGACTCTTCCTGCCAAATATCCCTCCCGCAAAACATGGATCCGGGGTCCTGCATGCCCTACTCAGAACCCTCTCCTGCAGCCCAACACGCCCTAGCAATAATGTCAGTGCTTACGCGGAGACCACCTTCCCGTTCAGAATTTCCGCCGGCGCCATGGCCTTTATTAGTCCGCTGCCCACGATGGACACCGCCAAACCCGAGGCTGCACTCTCCCCGCGGCCGCGCGGGACAGCCCAACCCACGTGTTCAGGGACTGCCAGGGATCACCTACTGCGCCTGCGCGTCCGGCGCTGAGGCGCATGCGCATCGCAGAAGGACTGGGGTCCCTTAACTAGAGAAGAGTGAAAGGGTCGGGAACTGCCGGACTGAAGACACAGGAAAAAAAGGTGAAGAAAACTGGCGATGATTGGCTGGCACAAAGAGCCGGTCCATAGCGCGCCTTTGAGAGTGGCGGAAGGGGGCGGAACGAACTCCAGGACCGCGGCTGACTTCAGCCAATAAGGGAGCGGAGCGGGGGGGCGGGGCCGGCGGGGCGTTCTCGCGGGAGAACAGTTTCGCGGGCTCGGGAGGCGCCGCGGGGTTGAGCGCGTCGGAACTCCTGGAGGGCTTAGGGCGGGAGCGGGGCGGGGCCTCAGAGGTGAACCTGGAGGGTGTGGGCGCCGCCTGCCTTCCTCTGCGCCCGCGTCCCGCCTGGCTGGGCCGGGCTTTCCAGATTCTGACTCGGGGATCGGGCAGGGCACCCAGAGCTCTTCTTTTAGAATCTTTTTAGGTGGGTCGCGGTGGCTCACGCCTGTAATTCCCGCGCTTGGGAGGCCCAGGCGGGAGAGGATCGCTAGAGGCCAGGAGTTCTAGACCAGCCTGGGAAACGCAGCGACCCCCTTCCCCCGACAAAAAAAGTAGCCAGGCGCGGTGGCCCAGGACTTTTGAAAGGCCGATGCGAGAGGATTGCTTGAACCTGGGGTTCGAGACCAGCCGGGGCAACTTGACAAGACTTTGTCTCTACAATAAATAATAAAAGAAAAAAAAAGTTAGCTGGGCGTGGTGGCACGGGTCCACAGTTCCAGCTATTCGGAAGGCGGAGGCGGAGGGATCGCCTGAGCCCAGCTGGTCGAGGCTGCGGTGGCTGTGATTGTGCCACTGCACTCCAGCCTGGGCGACAGAGTGAGACTCCGACTCAAATAAATAGATAAATAGATAGATAGTAATAATAATAATAGCAGTATGCCTCTAAACACGTGGCAATTAAGAGGAAAATTGAAGCAAGTGCTTCTGGTAAGTTGCCGATGGTAAATATAGTGTGTGTCTCATACTGTCAAGTGCGTATTAACTACTTCACCTTTCTTATGTGTTGAGCAAGATGACGTAAACCCCATTTTACGGATGGGGAGATAGGCTCTGAAGCATAATTTGTCCAAAGCTGTATAACTGACTGGGCAAGGCCCCGCACCTGATTCTCCATCTCTAAATCTGTTGTCTTTGTCGTCACACCAGACAATTTTTCCATGGGCAGTGGACAGGTTTTGGGATGATTCAAACCCAGAACATTTATTGTGCACTTTATTATTATTACCGTGTAATATATGATTAAATAATTATACAACTCGCCATAAAAAGAGGCACAGAGGGAAGCGGCACATAAAATCATGGGCGGACCACACACAGACTAAAACCAGTGTTTAATTCCAACTTAAAGCCTGCCACCAGATGCGGCTGTACAATTGAAGCACATCAACTCACTTGCCACTCACTGATAGGGTATCGACATGGGTCTGCAAGCAGTTGATTTATTATGGTCTCTGTGCAGTCAAACCTCACTGCGTATGTGAATCTGTATTTGCCGCCGCTCGCCAGCGCTAGCATCACCGCCTCAGCTCCACCTCAGATCATCAGGCATTAGATTCTCATAAAGAACACACAGCCTAGATCCCTTGCATGCTCAGTTCACAATAGAGTTCACACCTATGAGAATCTAATGGGTCGGGCACAGTGGCATAGCCTGTAATCTAGCACTTTGGGAGGCCGAGGCAAGAGGATTGCCTGAGCCCGGGAGCTTGAGACCAGCCTGAGCAACTTGATGAGACCTTGTCTCTACAATAAATTACAAAAAAAACCCAAAAAACTAGCTGGACGTGGTGGCATGCGTCTGTAGTTCCAGTTAGTTGGAAGGCTGAAGCGGAAGGATCGCCTAAACCCAGCAGATCAAGACTGCGGTGGTCATGAGAGTGCCACTGCACTCCAGCCTGGGCGAGAGTGAGACTCCAACTCAAAAAAAAAAAAAAAAA